TTCCATTGGTCTATGTATCTGTCATTGAACCAATACCAGGCAGTTTTGACTACTGTGGCTGTATAGTAGGTTTTGAGATCCGGCAATGTGAGACCTCCTGCTTTGTTTTTCTTCTTAGATTTGTATTTTATCTTGTAAGGATAAGGTACTTAATTTTAAAACATATCAGGCAAGTACACACAAAAAAGAAAGCATGCGTTTTTACCTTTAGACTAAGTTAAATTCTAGGCTTAAAGCAATAAACAAGAGAAAAGTGTTATATTTCTTTATGGGCCAAACACATAAAGCTAAAGCTTCTGGAATATAGGTTCTTGATAAACTTATTCTCCATGATGATATTTTTAATATACTTCTTTCAGAATTTGACAACTCAAACTAAAACTCCAAACTCACTGCTGTCGAGTCAATCCTGAGTCATAGTGACCCTTCCTTGGGTTTTTAAGGCGGTATCACTACAGAAGTAGATTGTCCAACCTTCCTTCTGAGGAGTGGCTGGTGGGTTTGAACTGCCAGCTTTCTGGTTAGCAGTCAAGTGCCTTAGGCACTACACCGCCAGAGGTCCTCAAGGAGGAAAAAAAAAATATGGAAGGTATAAATATACAAAAAGCTTTAATAGATGCATGTGCATAAAATTATAAGGTATTTTAAGGAAGTTAGAAAGGTAAAGGTACTCTTTATATCCTTCTGACGGCCAGGGGTGGTTTAGGAAATGTTTGCCCTTTTGTACTTCTGACCTAAAATTCAATTTTCCACTTCTTCATGGATCTGCCTTCTGTGTTCTTTTAATGCATTAATTTCAATAGATTAATTTTTAACCTTTAATTATACTCCCCTTGTCTGGAAGAGTGGGCCTTGTACTCAGTGCTGCTAAAGGCAGCAGCCCCCAATCACTGAATTGAGGATGTATCTTTTTTTTTCTCTCAACACATGAAAAATTGAATTTTGTTTCATGATATATTGCCACTTCTATAATTTTTTAGGAACCCTCTGGATATTGATGCCACTGGTGTAGTTGGACTGTCATTTAGTGGACAGCGAATCCAGAGTGCCACGGTGCTCCTCAACGAGGATGTCAACGACGAGAAGACAGCTGAGGCTGCGCTGCAGCGCCTGAAAGCCGCTAACATTCCAGAACACAATACATTTGGCTTCATGTTCGCATGTGTAGGCAGGGGCTTTCAGTATTACAGGGCTAAGGGGAATGTTGAGGCTGATGCATTTAGAAAGTGTTTTCCTAGTGTTCCCTTATTTGGCTTCTTTGGAAATGGAGAAATTGGATGTGATCGGATAGTCACTGGGAACTTTATATTGAGGAAATGTAATGAGGTAAAGGATGATGATTTGTTTCATAGCTATACAACAATAATGACACTTATTCATCTTGGGTCATCTAAATAAAGCCACCTTTAAAGTGGCTTTCATAACTTTTGGCCTCTGCCTTTTCCAGAAAATGGAAATTTGGGATAACATGTATTTCAAACAAAAATAACTTTAGATATATCTGTTTTGTAGCTTTTATTGATTCTCTAAAGATCACATTGGGGTAGTGTTAATATATTAGATGAAAGCAACTTTGTGTGTAACATAATAGAGAATAAGACTTGAAAGCTTTTGCATCAGACACAGGCAAACCAACTATGGTTATATCACACCAGACTCTGCAGCTGCTGTGTGATTTCACCTTACACAGCTTTCCTGTATATGACCATTAAAAGGAGTCTTCAGTAGGACAGAGAAGTAAGACATTCCACAACTACCTCTTTGCATTGTTAGATGATCTTTTAGCAATCATGAAGACTGTTTTCTCCCTTAATAAAGGAGAAAAATACACAGATGGCTTTTTGTTTGACAAATCTTTGTTCTACCAGTTTTTTCAGAAGCTGTAGTAAGATTATTACTGACTTTTTACATGATGAAAATGAACTATTTTTATTTTGGTACTCTAAAGTTACTCAGCCAGATAAATTGCTAAGACTAATCAGTATTTTATTACTTTATAAGTGAAAATTTTTATTTTTTCTTTCTTCAGTAAAGAAATTGCAAGAGGAAATCCTCCCCCCCCCCCGCCCACTTAGTTGTATATAGCTGATTGGCAGACCAGGGAATTAGGTCCCCTCATTTTGGTTTTATACTAATAAAATACACACCTTGGAAACTCATTCAGATAGCATTTGGTATTTCATTGCCTTTGGTGAGTGTGGTAGTTCAGTTTATGTGTCAACTTGGCTGGGCAGTTGGATGTAGTATTCCCCATGATGAGACTGGTAATCAGCTCCATGGGGGAATCTACTGCCTTAGGGATGTGCTCTGCTTCCAGTATATAAGGAGAAGCCTTGGGGAACAGTCTCTAGCTTATAGCACGCTTGAACCATGCATGTACCTGAGTCATTGTTTAGCAATCTGCCGGGCTCCACTGATCGTGGGACTTTGAACGGACTTGAATTAATGGCCTGCTGTGTGGTTTAGTAACATTGGGACTGTGCCTTTTTACTTGTCACCCTTGGGTTTGTCAGCTCAGTACCCAGCAGCTGAGTGAAGAAAAGCTTCCAACTTCAGTGGACCCGGGAGCAGGAGGCAGAGCTGAAGCCCAAGGTTGAGGGGCTTTCACCCAGCCCCTAGAGCCTGGCACTTTGAAATCGGACTGAGAGTCTCCAAACTGTAAGAGAATAAACTCCTGTTTGTCCAAGCCATCCCATTTGTGGTATATTCTTGTCACAGCGGCACTAGGTAACCAGAACAGTGGGTGAATGAAGGAGGTGAATTAATTCTTTGTAAAAGAAAACTCAGAATACTAAATACTCTGTAGCTCGTTGGTCCTGGCATATTTTCAGTTGAATTATTTTCCAAGTTTGCATTTCTAATTTTATACATATCTAAATGAGATACGTTCTGAGAGCACCAATTTTTCCCCAGTAGCCATTCTCTGCTTTTTGCATAGTGGTAGAACCCTTCAGTTTGGGCTGGGCACATGCATCCCTGGAGTAAATCTTGCTTTTCTCAGTCTCTCTTGCAGGTTATGGACAATATGTGATGGGAAATGATAGGCTTCCTTCAAAATAGTGTGCATAGTGTGCTCATATTTGGCCGCTTTCTTTATCATGTTGCTTGAAAAGTAATCTGGTAGTAAGCCATGTCAGACTCTACAGAGGAGGCAGCGCCATGTTGGAGGAGAAACCACTCAGGATCCTAAGTTCCTACGCAACTTTGTGGAGCAAAGCCACCAAAACTGCCCACCTCTGGGCTGTTTGACAGAAAATAATCTCAATCTTGTTTAAGCCACTAGTTTTTTTTTTTTTTTCCTTTAAAATAGTCTTTGTTAGGTGTGTCCTTATACTGGCATATCCTACCTAATACAATGTGGTATAACTAACGTATGGCACTTTTGTAATGAATGGCCAGTGCTTAGTTCTAATAGGACAGTAGAAAACTTGCAAGGTAAGTAAAATGTATTAAAATTAATCCTATTTTTCTGCTTTTATCACTTGCCTCTCAATTCTTGCAGCCAGAGATTTTTCTTTTACAGTTTATGTATAAAGAACCTTGGTCACACAGAGGTTAAAATACTTAGGTGCTAATCCACCAGTCACTCCACAGAAAGATGTAGCAATCTGTGCATCTGTAAAGACTCACAGTCTTGGCAGCTCTATGAGGCAGTTCTGCTCTGTCCTGTAATTGCTATGAGTTGGAATTGACTCAGTGGCAGTGGGTTGTTTTTTTTTTTTTTTTTTTTGTTGTTGTTGTTTACACATACGATAAAAATATTTAAGGGTACTTTTATTTTATGGGTATCCTAAATCTTAGTTCATGACCAAAGTCCAAAGAAAACTTAGATTGTGATAGACTTTTAATTAGTGAATGTTTTGTATTTAGCCATTTCTATGTAGCTACCAATTTTTCTACTTAACATTGGTGCTCATTATCATGTAAACGAAAATACCTCAAAATTTTTGTCCTTGGGCATGCTTATATAACACAGGAAAATATCTTGTAAAGTTTCTTTATCCCGATAGCAACAAGAGTTGGTTGAATAATAGAGGAAAATGGGTTTTAAAAACTGTGAAAACATGCACACAATGAACCTGAGGATTGAATTGCTTTATTTTTTTCAAGTTAATACTCATATAAAATGTTTTCTGTTACTTTTCAAAGGAGAACCTACTGCAGGGTCATTTCATGACAAGATGTGAAATTGTTAGAAGAGTCCTTGGTACAGCCGAGCCTTTGGGGCCTGCTGTGAACTTTATGTCATTTGGCCACTTGGTTGCATCCCTGATGTAGTGTGTTTAGTGTTCTTTAGCAAAGGGAGGAGTTAACCCAACTATAGTACAGATGAGCACAACTAAAGTTAAAACTGTGTATTTAATTTTTCACAATTATGAAAGGCTTGGCTAATATAAATGCAAGCATTAAAAGAATTAATTACCACTGTTTCAGTTAATAACATACTATGTTGAATAAAAGAATCTTAATTCCTAGAAATGGCAAGCATTGTAGTTGTGAAACTGGAAAAGCGAATGTGTGCAAACATTGAGGTAAGCACACAAAGACAAGTTTTGGTAAAGAGTGCATGCACCGAGTATCTTCACCCACTGAGCTGCCACCTTGCAAGTGGTGATCAGATGATAGATGGTTTATTTAATCAAGATATTTAAAAATACTGATTTATTTATATATTTTCAAAGCAAAATAATTTCTGTGGCTGCAATTTGCTTTGTAAAAAATTGCTTCAAGGTATGTATTTCCATTCCCTTTTATTCAAGTAGCACTAAAGCTCTTAAAAGCCAGGTAGCAATATAAGGAAGGGAAGAAAGGTAGACCTTGAAATTAAGATGTAGAAATAGCTACACCCTGCACTGTGATATAAATGTTAAGACTCCACTGACCTACACTGACAAAGAGGGTGCAGTAAGCCTTTCACCACTGAAATTCTGTCAACTTCATTTCAACCTACATCACTGGCAGACTTAGCCAATTTCCCTGTCTGGTTGGGAAGGCCAAATAAAGTTTTGCCACTGATTTATGATGCAAATTTAACAAAATGAACATGCAAAGAATTATAGTAGGAATAACATTTTACAAATTCTGAGATCTTAACTATGCAATCTGGAAAAATTTTCAAGAAAAAAATGTGCTTTTGCTGTTTTGTGCCCACACAAGTTGGTTCCAGATTAGCACTGTCAAAAATCCCATTTTAATGCAAACATACACTCCAGTCTTCTTGATGGGAAATTATGAGATTTATGGATGACTGACTTGATTTTCAAATGTAGAAACTGAAATATGAGTCTGCTTAAAATCCTAAAATAATAAAGAAAACACAGTAAGCATTAGTAATAACATCCTTGTTAAATGAACAAAATAGCACTTAAACTGTATAAAGAATGTATTACCAGAAAGTTATTTTTAAAGAATGTTATGAGGAAGTACTTTAAATATTCAAATAGGCAAATATTTGCAAGACATGTTATTGTGTGTGTGTGTGTGTGTGTATATAACAATATATATATTTGACTTCTGCCCTAGTCTATAACTGAGGCAGGTTACAAGACTATATACTACTACAAAGTAGGAAACATGGGCAGAATCCAATAAACTTAGTATGTTTTCATAGTAATAGTGTATGGAACATTTTCATTTTCTGTTGTATAAAAGTTACTGTTACCCAGTGTCTTTACAACCAGCTCCCTACCCCCACCCAAAAGAAAGGGAAGATTGATAATTTAGGAGAAATTGAAAGAAAATGTATTCATTAACTTTAATTTCAACACAATCAGATCGACAAGCATTTGGGGACCAATGTCTTAACATCTTTACATTTTTAATTTTTAAATTAAAAATTACTAACCAAAATTCACTCAACACATGTACCTCACACATACTCTGTTCAAGGCCTTGTCAAAGTACTGGAATTGTAGTCGGGAATAAACATAATTGACTTTCATAGAGCTAACAGTTTAGTGCAGTGTTTCTCAACTTTGGCTCTTAAATTTGGGCTGGAGAATGTTGCTGTGTGTTTGGTAAAACTATATGACAGAACATTTGCTATTTTAGCATTTTTTGTGGGTATAATTCAGCGACATTAATTACGTTCATCATACTGTACAACCTGACCATTATTCATTTCCAGATTTGTCTGTCACCCTTAACAGAAACTCACTGCCCCCTGAACAGTGATTCTCCTCCCTTCCATCCATGCTAACAACTTACAATCTTTGGTCTCTATATACCTATTACAGACATTTCATATAAGTGGGGTCATACAGTATTTGTCCCTTTGTGACTTACTTCATTCAGCATTTTCAAGGTTTATCCATGTTGTTGCATGTATCAGGACTTCATTTTTCTTTAGGACTAAGTATCTATTGTATGTGTATACCACATTTTGTTTATCCTTTCATTCACATTTGTTTCCACCTTTTGGCTA